TGGGAATGTAAAATGGTACAGCCATTATGGAATACAGTATAAAGTTCCATATGACCCAGTAATTCCACTTCTGAGTATATATTCTAAAGAATTCAAAGCAGGATCTTGAAGAGATATTTGCACACCTATGTTCACTGCAGCATTATTCTCAGTAACTAAGAGGCAGAAGCAACCCAAATGGACAATGATGAGTGGAAAATTTAATATATACATTTTATGATGGCATATTATACAGGCTTAAAAAGGAAGGAAATCCTGTCAAACATGGATAAACTTCAAGGACATTATGCTAAGTGAAATAAGGCATTCACAATAGGACAAATGTTATATAATTCCACTCATATGAAGTCTCTAAAGTAGTCAAAATCACAAAAATAGAACGTAGAAAGTTGGTTGCCAAGGTCTGAGGGTAGGAGGGTAAGGGAATTAGTATTTAATGAGTATGGAATTTCCATTTTACAAGATGAGAAAGTTCTAGAGATATGTTGTGCAACAATGAATATATTTAACACTATTGAACTATACATTTAAAAGTGGCCCTAGCTGGTTTGGCTCAGCGGTTAGAGCATCAGTCTGCAGAGCAGAGAGTCCTGGGTTTGGTTCCCACTAAGGATATGTACCTTGGGTGCAGTTTGTCCCTGCCCTGGTTGGGGTTGTGTGGGTGGCAACCACTCGATGTGTCCCTTTCACATAGATGTTTCTCTCTCTTCCCCCCTTCTCTCCTGCTCTATCTGGAGATAAATGCAAAAATGTTCTCAGATGAGGATAAATAAATAAATAAAATAAAAATGGTTAATTAAAATGGCCCTGGCCGGTTTGGCTCAACACTTAGAGTGCTGGCCTGTAGATCAAAGAGTTGCACGTTCAATTCTAGTCAAGGGCATGTGCCTCGATTTTGATTCAGTCCCCGGCCCTGGTTGGGGTTATGTGGGGGGCAACCAGTCTATATGTGTTTCTCTCTTCCTCTCTCTTTCTCTCTCTCCCCCCCACTCCTACTCTACCTGAAGATAAATGGAAAAATATCCTCAGGTGAGGATATTTTTTTAAATGGTTAAGATGGTAAATTTAACGTTGTATGTTTTTAACCACAATAAAAAAGTTCAATTTTTAATTTAGCCAAAAATTTTATTATTGTATAAAATATATAACAAATCCAAAGGTGTGTAAAATGCATCTGTAGAGTTAAAAATAATAATATTTATATCTATGTACCCACCATGCAGCTTAGAAATGAATATTATTAATACCTTAAAGGACTTCTGTGTGCCCCTCCTACCCCAGAGGTAACTATCCTTGAACATTTGAGTTAATCTTTCTTTTGCATTTCGTTTTATCACTAATATGTGTGTATCTCTAAACAATAAATATTTGCCTAAATTGAACTTCATATAAATGACATCATATATCCTCTTGTAAATTACCTCTTTTTCTCTAATCACTTATTCTCTTATTTTTTATTTTTTGTTACTCCTCACCTGAGGATATATATTTTTTTCCATTGAATTGTAAAGAGAATGGAAGGGAGGAAAGGCGTGAGAGAGAGAGGGAAACATTGATGTGAGGGAGAGAGACACATACATTGATTACCTCCTGCAGGCATCCCAACAGGGCCGGGAATGAACCTGCACCCAGGTGCGTGCCCTTGACAGGGAATCCAACCTGTGACCTTTCCGTGCAGGGCTGACACTCTGTCCACTGAGCCACACCGGCCAGGGCAAGCTTATTCTCTTTTTAAACATGAATCTCTTCTTTGAGATTCATCATGCGTGAATATTCCTTTGTATGAAAACACCACAATTTATTTTCTAATCTGTTCATAATGAACATTTAGGATGGTTCCAGTTTTGAGATATTACAAAGGGCTATTACTCCTGTGAATATTTTTGTAGGTCTCTTGGTTCTGGTATTCATATGCAAAAGTTTCTCTGAGCCCTAAATTCTAGAGTATAGACTTAGATAAGTAAAAAAGAAACTGAAAATAACCTAAATATCCATCAAAAGGTTAATGGATGAGCAAAATAAAACATTAAAAATTTTTTTTTTTTTTTTTATTTTAAAGAGAAAGGAAGGGAGAGGGAGAGAGAGATAGAAACATCAACGAGAGCCCTGGCCGGTTTGGCTCAGCGGTTAGAGCGTCCGCCTGTGGTCCGGAGAGACCCGGGTTCGGTTCCCGCTAAGGGCATGTACCTCGGTTGCAGTTTGTCCCCGACCCTGGTTGGTCGTGTGGGTGGCAGCCACTCGATGTGTCCCTTTCACATCGATGTTTCCCTCTCTCTCTCTTCCTCTCTCTCCCTCCCACACTGTCTGTACAAAAAATGGAAAAATGTCCTCGGATGAGGATTTAAAAAAAAAAAAAAAAAGAAACATCAACGAGAGAGAACATTGATTGGCCACCTCCTATATGCCCCCCACTGGGGATTGGGCCCACAACCTGGGCATGTGCCCTGACCGGAAATCAAACCAGTGACCTTTTGGTGCATGGGTTGACACTCACCCACTGAGCCACAGCGGCCGGGCAAAATGAGACATATTTATCTGATGGAATATTATACAGTAGTCCAATTGACTCTAACTGCTGAGCTAAACCAGCCAGGGCTAGGTAAAAAGAATTTAAAGAGCACACAAGACTTCTGGTCAAGATGGCAGTGTTGGTAACCGCGGTATTGCCACCTCCCACAACCACATCAAAATTACAACTAAACTACAACACAACCATCTTTCAGAACTGCCTGAAATCAAGCTGAATGGAAGTCCTACAACTACGAAATTAAAGAAGCAGCCACATTGAGACTGATCTCATGAAAAAACATGAATATTTAAGTTGCAACCTTCACACTTTGTCAGTTTTAGCAACAATGAGTTTTTCTGTTTCAGTTAAGAGCTCAGTCACAGAATGAAAACTTAAATCACATTCAATTTATTCTTTTGTCTCTCCCATTTAATCTGTCGTCAGATACTCAACTACTACATTTACCACTACCCCCTAAAATATATTATATTAAGAACTTTAAAAAAAAAAAAAAGCACACAAAACACAATGCCAAATATATGTAAAAATATAAAAAGTGGACTGGAAGTATAAACACTAAACTCATGATAATGGTTGCCTCTGGGGAAGAAGGGAAAGGGGACTTTAGATTTATCTATAGTGTTATAGTTCCTTTGTTTTAAAAAAAAAAAGGTAAAAAATAAATCTGACAAAAGTTTAACAGTTTTTAATTTGGGATGGTAGAATATAGGTATTGTTTTGTTGTTTTTTATCTTTTAAGTTTCTGTTTTTGAAAAGTCATAGATTGTAGAGAAGAATGTAGGGGAGAAATGTTTGCCTAATAGTTCATCTAGTATTCAGAATTTTCATAATACTACAATGGGAGATTTTTTGTCGTTTTCTTTCTTCTAATAAAATTTTCAAAGAAACACTGTGGTTAAAAAAATTTTTTTTTGGCCCTGGCCGGTTTGGCTCAGCATTTGGCGGAATGGCCCGCAGACTGGAGAGTTCGGGGTTGGATTCCTGCTGGGGGCGCACACCTCGGTTGCGGTTTATCCCTGGCCCGGATGGGGTTGTGTGGGTGGCGGCCACTCGATGTGTCTCTCTTGTGTCAATGTTTCTCTCTCTCTCTTCTTCTCTCTCTCTCCCTCCCGCTCTATCTGAAGATGAATGCAAAAAAAAAAAAAAAAAAAGAAAGAAAGAAAAGAAAAGAAATTTTGGCCGGGCTGCTATGGCTCAGTGGTTGAGCATCCACCCATGCACCAAGAGGTCGATGGTTTGATTCCTGGTCAGGGCAGATGCCCAGGTTGTGGGCCAAATTCCCTGTGGGGAGCATGCAGGAGGCGGCCAATTGATGTTCTCTCTCATAGATGTTTCTGTTTCTCTCTCCCTCTCCCTTCCTCTCTCTCTACAATCAATAAGTTAAAAAAAAAAAAAATGAAAGAAAGAAATTTTGTGCAAAATATCATACTATTTCCACAGGACAAATTCCCGGACATTAATTACTTGGGTCAAAGTGTTTGAATCTTTGAAGCATTTGCTGAGTCCTAGGAAAATGTTCCAATATACATTCCTTTGGAAAATCCTAACTTGAAATATAGCAGATCTGAGAGTGCTTTCTATAGCTGTGAAGGGTCCATCCTTTATTTCATCGCTCTTAACTGATTTAATTCTTCCACTTTGGTTGATACATATACCTTTGTATTAACTTCTGGTTTAATTAGTATTTGTCTAGATAAAATGTTGATCCCACTAATGAATGAACACAAAAAGAAGACATTTTTGCTCAATATCAGGAAGGGCTTTCTAAAAAAAAAAAGAAAGAAAAACTGTTCAAAGACAGATGTCCAGTATTGGAGGTAACTGAGCATAAACGGAACAATTACTTGGCAGAATGTTATAGATTCCTTCTTTCATTCCTCAGACCTTTAGGAAACCTCTTCCCTCAGCCACGTGCAAGGACCTGAAGGCCCTGAGGTGAAAATGTTTAAGGTGATGCCACCCAGGCTGCATTTCAAGAGTTTAGCTAGAAGATCCAGTCCTATGTTCTCTGAATTCTCTGTTGATGGCTGGACCTTAATTTTAGGCTTCAGAGGGTGTGCGGGTGCGCATGAACGGCTGGAAACTCAGAAAATGAAAACAACTTTTATGAGAATTCAATTAATTACGTTTCTTAGAACTATCCATCAAATTCACTTGTAGATGTTGGATGCAAAGATAAATTCTGGCTGAAGGGACATTCAGGGGCAGGAGAGGAAGAGACAATTCCTCGTGGGGAAAATTGGACGAAAAAAAGCAGTGTCTCCCAGTCTTTTCCCAATTGGGCTCTTTTCAGGTATCCTCGACTCCACGGTACCAAGACCCACTGCCAGCTGAATGAGCGCCGGCGGGCGAGCTAGCAGGGCAGGTCACTTAGCAGCCCGGAACCTCCCGGGCAAGTTCGTGCAGCAGTGCGTCCGGGGAAACGTTTGAGCGCTGCACCGCCCTGCGCCATTGCCCTTCAGCCCAGTACTCGGAGGAGAGAGCTCAGGACGCGGGCCCCGGCAGTGGTCGTGGTGGTTTTCTTCGTAGTTGGCGGTCTGAGGCCAGGCCTCACGTAAGAACGGCATCACCATGATGAGCGGACGGCCGGGCCGAAAGCCCTTACAGTTCCTGCCGGATGAGGCCCGGAGCCTGCCCCCGCCCAAGCTGACCGACCCGCGGCTCGTCTACATCGGCTTCTTGGGCTATTGCTCCGGTCTCCTTGATAACGCGATCCGGCGGAGGCCGGTGATGTTGACCGGTGAGGGCTGCGGGGGTGGGATCCGGTGGGAGGAGAGAGGGTCCGGGGCTGCGGGCCGGCTCCGCCATAGGCTGCCTTCGCTTTTCCGGGCCTTGTCGCCCAGCAGGCCCCTCCTCGCCTTCCTGGGGCTTCCGCGCCCCGGGAGCCCTTCAGAATCCCGCAGCGCCAGAGTGTCCTTTGCCTCTTTAGCAAAGCGAGGTGCAGTGAAACCCACGATCTCACAGTGAGTCTGTGAAGGACCCGGCAGTGACTGCCTGTGCCCTCTGGGTTCGCGCTGTGGTGTGTGCAAAATGAGCGCTCACTCCATGCCCTGCACTACTGACACTATGTACTTTATGGCATTTGATCCTCAAAACACCTTTTGGAGAGAGATTAGCCACAATGAGACAACAGCCATAGAGAGGTTAAAGCAGCGTGCCCAAGGTCATACAGCTCATAAGTAGCAGAGCCTGTTTTTAGACCTCATAGTCTATATTCGAAAACAGTGCTCTCAGACTCCATGTGCATACTGCTAATAACGTGGGATCTTGTAAAACGTGCATTCCAATTCATTAGGTCTGGGAGAGGCTTGATGTTAATCAGAGACGGCTGATGCTGCTGGTGTAGAGACCCCACTTTGAGTAGGAGGCTCTAAACCACCAGGCTGTATTTTCTAGTGCTGTGTCGGTGGCATCCTGCCAGCTGATAATATGTGACACAGTAGCAGTGCTAAGGGCTGTGGATCTCCAAAGGAGAAAGTGGAGGGACACTCTGGAAGATTTTGAACTTACCTTTGACCTATCAGGCAGACACTAGGAGACAGCCTTCCAGGTCCATGGGGCTAGTGGGAATAAGTGAAGGCAAGGGCCTCTGGATGGGGGGTGGTTTGATGATTGAGTGAGTGTGCAGGGTAGAGCAATAAGGCTACAAAGGATAGTAGGTTTATCATGGCAATTTATTCTCTAGACAGACAGGAACCTTTTTAGCTTTTGATTGCTGGGGGAGCCAGGCAGAGATGTAATGGTCAGACCTGTGTCAACTTTGTCAACAATGTGAAGCAACACTGATTGGAGCCAAGGAGCCCAATTAGGAAGAAAGCTAACCAGGAATCACCTCACTTGTGCCTCTTTTGCCTTCTTCCAGTGCGTGTCATACCTGGGGAGGTCAACTTCTAGCCCACCAAATTTCAGCATTTCCAGAGTTCAAATAGTATTGAAATCCCATCTCCCTTGGACATGACCCTACTCTACAGAAAGAAGTGATCTGTGACCATTTCTACCTCTGTGGAGGTGGCATTTTCTCCCTTTTTATTATTACTGCTCCACATTTGCCAAGCCTTACTCTTCATGTAATAGAAAGAGCTCCACTTTGGAACCAACTGTGTCAGGCAGTTCAGAGCCAAAGTTTCCTCATCTATAAAGCGGGAGTAATTAATCTTTATATATTTATTGTGATCATTGAGATGGGTAAAATGCCTGGTATGCAGAAGGTGCTGGACAAAGTTTCCTTTCCTTAGCTCTTGTTATACAGTTTGCAATATGTCTGTTCCACATTTACAGAGCTCTTTCTCTTTGCCAGGCAGTATTACATACAGGGTATGTAGGGTGAGGATCACCATCCCCCACTTTAAGGAGCTCTAGTCAGGGAGACAACTAGTCCACTATAGGTCTAGGTGTGACTGTTACCCGTTTTGATGGAAGTGGATAAGCAGAAAGTGCTTAGGGAGCATAAAGGAGGTACAGATCAGAGGGAAACTGTTTTAGAGGAAGTAAAGGTTGGCTGAAATGTGAAGTATATACCACTTAATCTCACCTCATCAAATTATGTTTTGTGCCTTTTCTGGGAGACAGAAGAACTTAGCAGTTAAGAGCACATGGTTTTGGGTTTGATACCACCTCCACTCTACTAGCCATTTGATTCTAGAGAAGTAACTTATCTCTGTGAGGTTTAGTTTCCTCATCTATGAAATAGGGAGAATATCTACCTCTTCATGTGGCTGCGAGAACTAGATGAAATAATGTATATAAAGCACTTAACCCAGGGCTAGGAGTCAGAGTTCCTGATTTCCCTGAGTTTCCCTAAGTTGCTTTGGAAAATTTAGGTCTTGACTTTACTGAAATTGTATCCTCAGCAGTATATATTGAATGCATATTGTGTTTGTCTAGCTCAATGTCTGGCATATAGTAGTGCTCAATAAGATTTATTGAATAAATATGTATATGTAGATTACAAGGAAGTGTGAAACATGGTCTCAACTCTCCAAATATTTATGAACCAGATGAGCATATCCATTAAAAAGATAAACTGTAATACAAGTTCATGCACCTAGTGTAACAGGTGTGACAGAGTTGGAGGAGTGGGAAAGGATTTTCAAACTGTGGCCCTGGAGAGTACCTGGCATTCTGTGGGTAGTATTGGAATATTCTAGCAATGAAATCAAATTGTGCAGATCTTTTTCAAGTTAGCAGAAAATATTAAATAGAAATTTTCTTAAGCTTTTCTCCTATTATTTGTTTTTAAACTCTTGTTGCTAGTTACCACTTACCTGCCCTAAATTTACAGTTAGTTGGTATCTAAGTGTAATCCACAAAATTAAATATTTACTGATTTATAGTTTAATCTGTCAGTAATTTACAGTGTTCTGCAAAGAACACCATGGCTCCAAGTTTAGATTAACAGTAAAGGAAAGAAGGGGAAAATGATTGTGGAGGAGTTGTTTATATGGTAAGAAGACTAACCACTGAGAGAGAAGAGAGGTTAGGGGAATGGGGACTTGGGAAGGGGCTAAGCCATGCTTTCAGAACTGGGACACTGACAACGTCTATAACATTTATGGGTACTCACAGAAAGATGGTCTTTGTATTTTTGCAGTCCAGTGGCACATGGGACAACTCAGCCAAGCACCCTTTGGTTTGCTGTGTTGCAGGTTGCCCTTGGGTAACAGTGGTTGTTTTGGGGCAAGGGAGAATGCAAAAGAGCCTGCGCCCTATCCAGTCCCTGATCATAGTAGTGTTTTAACACTTTTGTTATTTTCAACATTTTTTCAAAATGTGTGTGTGTGTGTGTGTGTGTGTGTGTGTATATATATATATATATTTTTTTTTTTAATCTTCACCTGAGGATATTTTATTATTTATCTGCAGATAGAGTGGGAAGGAGATAGAAGGAGGAAGGGAGAGAGAGAAACATCGACTGGTTGCCTCCCTCACGATCCCAACCAGGGCCGTGGGCAAACAGCAACTAAAGTATGCACCCTTGGTCAGAATCCGAGACTAATTGTTCCGCGGGCCGACGCTGTACTGCTGAGCCAAACCAGCCAGGGCTTCAAAATATTTTTATATGCATTTTCTTTTGGTTTATATACTACTACTCTAAGAAAGATAGGATAGGTGTTATCTGTTTTAGAGTTAGTAAATTGGCTTGCCCAAGATTATTCATCCACTAATTAAATATTAAATATTGTCTGTGTGCTGGTATACAAAAATGAATCAACATTGGCTTTGCCTGGTAGTAGAGAAAGAAATAATTACTATAGCAATTTACATATTAATAGAGGTAAGTTTACCCTTTTAAGTCCAGGAAAGTTCTGGGAAGACTTCTTAGCAGAAGTGATGTCTGAGTTGAACCTTGAAGGATCAGGAAGTCACTGGGCAGAGAAATAACCAGTGCATGGTATGTAGAAGCATGAAGAAGCCTAGTTGTGTGAGGAATTAAAAGTAGTTAAGTGTTGCTGGAGCACAATGTGTATATCGGGGAGTGTCAGAAGATGAAGTTGGGAGAGTTGGCTCATGAAGGGCTTGGGAGGTCATATGCAAGAGTTTGGACTCCTGTTGAGCATAATTGAAAGAGAAGGGACCAAAAAGCTAGGTTTATATTTTAGTAAAAATTCCTCCAGTTACAAGATAGAAGCTGGGATCAGTGGAGTGAAAAATGAGATGAAGGGGAGACCAGTTAGAGCAAATAAGAGATAAGTGAGGAAAGGAAGTATTTAGAAGGTAGAATTGACAGCACTCAGTGACTGGATGTGGGAAAGAGAGTAGAAAAGAAAGATGATACTGTGTTCATTAACCAGGTCTTATTCTTGGAATTAGTAGAAACAGGTGTGACTAGGAAGGAAATTAGTTAATTTGGAGGTATTTAAGTGAATGTATCTGTCAAACAGTTGGATGTATCTGTTATTCAACATGGGTGTCTGAGTTGGATGTACTTGTGGGTCACCAGCACATGGAGAGTAGATAAAGGTACAGTAATAAATGAGTTCTCCAAAGGAAGATGTGTGGGATAAGAAGTGGAGGGCTGGGGATAGAATTCTGGGGCTTAGCTCAAAAATCAAACCTGAGCTCTGACCGGTTTGGCTCAGCAGTAGAGTGTCGGCCGGTAGACCAATGAGTCGCAGGTTTGATTCCAGCCAAGGGCATATACTTCGGTTGTAGTTTGTCCCCGGCCCTGGTTCAGTTGTGTGGGTGGCAACCACTCGATGTGTTCCTTTCACATTGGTGTTTCTCTCTCTCTCTCTCTCCTCCCACTCTATCTGAACAAAATATCGAAAAATGTCCTTGGGTGAGGATAAAATAAATAAATAAAGGAAAAAAAATTTTTTGAAGAAAATCAAACCTGCGGTTAGCCTTTGGCAAAAAAAAAATATTTTCATATATAAAGTTCATACCTTTGGATCTCCCCTTCAGACTTTAAATTTTGACTTTCTCTAGAGCAAGTGATTTGATTCTCTCCCGTTGCATTATAATAGAATGCTTTATTTATAATCCTTACACGAGGATATTTTTCCATTCAACTTCAGATAGAGTGGAGTGGGAGGGAGACGTCAATTGGTTGCCTCCCGCACAACCCCTACCA